CCTCAGTACCTTTACTCGTGTATTAGGTTGGCCAAAAAGTCCATTACATTTTTTCCATATGTATTTATTGTCTTTAACTTCATACAAAACAATTTTGTCAGATTGTTTTGTGACAGTTGTCATATCAGCATGCATTAAAAAAAAATGTATCAGCCTTGGCTACTGTGGCTAAGTGGATTGAGTACTGGCCTGCCAACCAAAATGTGGCCAGTTCAGTTCCCAGTCAGGGCACACGCCTGGGTTGCAGGCCAGGTCCCTGGTAGGGGACACATGAGAGGCAACCACCCATTTGATGTTTCTCTCCCTCTTTCTACTTCCCTTCCCCTCTCTCTAAAAATAAATAAATAAAATCTTTTAAAAATTTTATCAAAATTAGTGAATTTTTATCCAGTCATTTTAATATTGAAGATAGATGGAACCCAATCAACAAAACAAACAAGCAAAATATAACCAGAAATATTGAAATAAAGAACAAACTGACAGTAACCAGAGGGGAGAGGGGGGAGGGATAATGGAGGGAAAAAAGGGGAAGGTCCATCAAGGAACATGTGTAGAGGACACATGGACGAAGCCAGAGGGGATAGGTTCGAGGGTGGGAGGTGGGGATGGGTGGGGCTGGGGGCTGTGGAGGGGACAAAATGGAGACAACTGTACTTCAACAACAATTTTTAAAGAGAAGAAAATACATAACAGTTTTGGTGTATTATTCTTTATTATTTCAAGAAAGGTAAAAATGTAACTGAAACCCAAAAACAATTTGTGCAGTTTATGGAGAAGGTGCTGTGACTGATTGAATGTGTCAAAATTGGTTTGTGAAGTTTCTTGGTACTATTGACATTTTGACCAAATAATTCATGGCCGTGAGGCTGTCTTATGTATTGGAAGATGTTTAGCAGCACCCTTGGCATCTACCCACTAGAGGCCAATAGCAGGAGACAGCTGGTGTATGCAAAATATCCAGATCAATAAAGTTATTGGTAAAAAGGAAAAATGTGTCTTTTACAGAAAAATATGTAACAGACTTTTTGGCCAACCCAATAGTTCCCTAGTCTCGGTTTCATTCCCTCCTCTTTTTTATTTTTAAAGTTTACTAATCTAAACTTTACTAATCTTATGCCTGATGTTATTATTAGCATTGGCCTTTACTGGTAACCATTTAAGTGCCAACCATGAGCCAAATACTAGGGATACAAAAAAGCATAAAATCTAGTCACTGCTCTGGAGAGGCTTAGTTCATTTGGGAGTAGGAGGCAGTTTACACAAGACTGGCAAAAGTAGGTTTACAGTTGTGAGTGAGCAAAACACAGCTCATTCTGGTATCATTAATTAATTATTGTATTATATGAACAACTGTAAACCTACTTTTGCCCACTCATGTATTTGATTACAAGATAGTATATAAAGATGCCATGAATAATACAGCTCTAGAAGCAGAGAAGATTAAATAAGTATGGAGTGGCTAGTGGTTATAGAAATTTCTGTGTATAAAAGGTTTATCTTAAGTTAGTCTTCTTAAAAAAGATTTTATTTGCGTATTTTTAGAGAGAGGAGAAGAGAGGGAGAGGAACATCAGTGTGTGAAAGATACACATTGCCTCTCCCATGCTCCCACCTGGGGACCTGGCCTGCAACCCGGGCATGTGCCCTGACTGGGAATCGAACCCATGACCTGTTTCATAGGCCAGCACTCATTCCTTTGAGCCACACAGCCAGGGATTAAGTTAGTCTTTAAATGAAGAGTTGGAGTTACCACTCCAACTGAAAGAAGGAAGACGGGAAAATTCGAACCTCTTTTTTTTAATCTTATCCGTGCTCACTTCTCTTCAGTCACAGTGACCGCTTTGTTTTTTCTGAAGGCCTAAAACATGTTCTTCCAGATGGTCTGTATGTCCCCCTCCCTACTTCCTTCAGGTCTTTGTTTGTTTTAAATCCTCACCCAAGGATATGTTTTATTGATTTTAGAGAGAGGAGAAGGGAGAGAAACATTGATGTGAGAGAGAAACATTGATGGGTTGCCTCCCATACAAATCCTGACTAAGGGTCAAACCCTTAACCTAAGTATGTGCCCTGGTCAAGAATTGAACCTGCAGCTTTTTGTGTGTACGGGTTAATACTCCAACCAGCCAGACTGCCTGGCCAGGGCTTCCTTCAGGTCTTAATTAAAATATCCCCCTTCTTCGAGGCCTTTACTTGCTACCTTATTTAACATTATAATATCCCTTCCACACATCTCTTCATATTCCTCTTCCCTGCTTTGTTTCTTTTTTGTGCCTTTTTGCTGTCCAACATACTCTATATTTTAATTGTCTTTTTATCCCTATTATAATATAAGATTATAAGAGCAGGGGTTTTTCACACACTTTATTCAACGTTATATACCCAGCACCCAGAACAGTACCTGTTACAAAGTAGGTGCTCAGATTTTTGTTGAATGAATTAGACAATTGAACTTTAAAACAGAAATGTGAAGATCATTTGACCTACCTACCTACTTTCCCTCCCTCCCTCCCTCCCTCCCTCCCTCCCTTCCTTCCTCCCTCCCTTCCATTCCTCCTTTCCTCCCATCCCTTCTGGCTAGTGTAGAGGAGGAGGAGGAAGAACTTTTTCTTCCAGCTTTTTCTAAAAAAGCTTATAGGACTTTTAAAAAGTTGTAGAAGTCATGTAGAAGTCATGAAAAACTCCATGAATTTCTACATATGTAAACATATAATCACCAACCAGTTCAAGATGTAGAATACTTGTAGGACCTTAGAAGCCTTTCTCATGCTTTCTCCTACTTCCCAAAGGTAACCACTATTCTGATCTTCATCACAATAGGTTAGTTTTGCTTATTCCCGAACTTCATATAAATGGAATCAAATCATCCTTTTATAATCTGGTTTCCTTTGTTCAACCTTATGTCTGTGAGATTCATGTTTTTAGAGTTAGCACTAGTTTATTCTTTACTATTGTCTAGTATTCCATTTTATGAGTAAATATTTATTTATTCTACTGTTGATAAACATTTAGGCCATTTCCAGTTTTTAGCTCTTAGGAACAAAGTTGCTATGAACAATTTTATACATGTTATTTTAGTGAGCATAAGGTTCATTTCTTGGCTAAATAACTAGGAATTAACCTCATCTCTCTCTTTCTAGATAGATACACATAATTCTTAATCCCACATTGTTCTTAGCATATCCTAGATGGTCATTAAATGGCTGAAGGTAAATTAAAAATTAATCATGTACTGTGAGATTATCTCAAATTTATTTAAAATACTGGAGACTAGTTCTTACACATTCTTTTTTCCTCTTGCTTAGCCTCTAAAAAAACCATATTCTTGCCATGGCTGGTGTAGCTCAGTGGATTGAGCTTGGGCTGAGAACCAAAGGGTCGCCAGTTTGATTCCCAGTCAGGGCATATGCCTGGGTTGCAGGCCAGGTCCCTAGTGGGGGCCACATGAGAGGCATTAATGTTTCTCTTCCCTTCTTTCTCCTTCCCTTCTCCTCTCTCTAAAAATAAATTAAAAAATAAGAAAAATAAAAACCATATTCTTTATTACTTGCTCTCCTTCCTCCAGAAGATGGGAGAGATATGTGTGTAAAAGAGAAACATCAAATTAATTTCAAAATGTGGATTTCAGAGCTTATTGGCTATTTTCCTATGTTTTTTCCATAATAAAGGTCATTTTTTTCAACTGGTTTTATCATAATTATGTTTTTCTACTATTCTATAGTTTGAAATCAATGGCTAGAAGAACTGGATCTGTTTTTTATTTCTTTCATGTGTTAATAACATATCTGGGGATATGTCAAGCAAAGACTTTTTTTTGATGGCCTTAAGTCATTTTAGAAGTGGCTTAGTTTGTGAAGAATGCAAATGAGAGCCCCTACAGTAATAGGAAAAATCCTGAGAAATGTTTTTCTAATACCAGAAAAGTGTTCAGTTCCCTTTCGAAATGATTCCTAAGCAAAATCTTTCTTAGAAAAAAATTTTAATTGTATATTTCTCATGATCATTTAATCCTCTTACATCCCCCTCCACCTATGATTTGTCTTGAAAGATGAATAGGAAACAAGGTAGCTGGGATACCTGGTAGGGAATGGGGGAGTAAATGCACACTATAGGCAGCGAATTGCATTTGCAGAGAGAGAGAGCAAGGCATATTTGGGGATCTGCAGGCAATTCAGGAGGACTAGAGCAAGGGATTTCAAGCTGTAATGTGCATATGAATCTCCTGGTAGGAGATTCATGAATTTGGAGTTCTAACATGTTCACAGGTGATGGAGATGTTGCTGGCTCAAGGATCACATTGTGCAAACCACTGGTCTAGAACATAGAAAGCAAGTAAGAATGAAGGAGTAGGGAGTGAAAGAAAGAAAGCAAGGCATGAAGGCTCTTATAACCAATGTAAAGACCGCATTAAAGCAGTGGTAACCCACTGGAGGATGCTAAGCATAATAGTGACTGAGATTCGTGGTTTCCTAGTTAGGCAACTAGTGGTAGGAATAATCTTTAGGGGCAAACTCTGTTTACACTTCAGACTATGAATAGTAAGTATTGTTTCTCCCACTAGTACACTCAGTCCATTTAAAGGAAAAGTTTGGTTTTATTTATTAATTTAATGTTATCTGTTAGTTTAATCAGTTTCTTCTTCCAAGGGTATTATTTATCCTAGTATTAGAATTTAATTTATAATTACATTATTAATCCCTGTTTGGGGTATAATTTTTTGTCCATAATCATGTGATAGTCTAAAGTTTTCTTTTTTATTGCATTGATTTGAAAATAAACTATCTGGGAGTGCTTATTGTGTGGTAGGAATCATCTTAATTATATATAGTATCTAGATTAGTTCATCATTGGCTTCCATAAATATTATTAATCAGAAGGATTAAATTTAATTTGTTTTAGCTGTTTAAATACCACATCAGTTTTGCAATATTATAAACGTAAAAGTCTGTGTGTGGTCTATACATATATAATATGTATAATTACCCCTGATTTTATAATTTCTAGGAACTTGTTTTAAAAACTTGGAGAAACACCAAAGACAAAAATCTGATGCCTCAACCCAAATTTAAGCATTGCTAATATTATGATATATGTGAGTATTCCTTCTCCCATGAATGTATTTATTTACTTGTATAACGATTATCCTTCCAGCAAGCAGTAAATTATGAAGATTTTTCTACTTCGTTAAAGGTGTTTCAAAACCTCCCCTGTCCAGTGTGGCTCAGTTGGTTGGAGCATTGTCTTAAAACCAAAAGAGTGAGGTTCAATTCTCTGTCAGGGCAGTGCCTAGGCTGCAGGTTTGGTCCTCAGTCCAGGTGTGTGTAAGTCCCAGTTCAGGCGCATCTGGGAGACAGCGAATTGATGCTTCTCTCTCACATTGATGTTTCTCTCCTTTCCTCTCTTCCTTACTGTAAAAAGCAATAAAATGTTCTTCATTGAGGATAAAAAGAATGCTTCAAAACCTAATTTTTAGGTCATAGCCAGGTAGCTCAGTTGGTTAGAGCATCTCTGTCCCTCTATGCTCCCCACTTTATGCCAAGGTTGCAGGTTCTATCCCATGTCATGGTACGTACAAGAATCAACCAAAGATGCATAAATAAGTGAAACAACAAATTGATGTCTCCCTCTGTCCCTCTCTCCCCTCTCTCCTTTCTTTCTCTCTCTAAAATTAAGAAATTAAAAAAATTAAAAACCCTAATTTTAGTATCAGCATATTTTCTGTTGAGTGGATGTATAATGAGCTAATCATTTCAATTATTGAATGTTTTATTCCTCTGATGATAATATTGATGAAAATCTTTGTACATAAATGTTTTTCCATATTTGAGCATTTTCTTACGACAGGAATAAAAATGCTCAATGAAAAGGTAAGAACTTTTTTAAGAACTTAAAAAAATTATAGATATTGACACATTGCTTTCTAGAAAGGTTATGTCAATTTATATTGCCAGTATTCAATATTAGTTTTTTGCCACCCTCCTCAATACTAGTTTTAAAAATCTTTTCTAATTTGATAAGCAAAAATGATCTTACTGTAATTTGTATTTCTTTGATTATAAGTAAAGTTGAACATTGTAAGTTGTTTTTGAAACAGTTCATTATAAAATAGCTTTCTTTTTATTTTATTTTTTAATATATAATCTTTTATATTTTTCCATTACACTTTAGTCCCCTTCTATCCCTTTTCTCCCAGGAGTCACCACACTGTTGTCCATGTCCATGAGTCTTTTCTCCTACAAAATATTTTAAAAAGCTAATGCCTTACCTTTAGGAGATGAAAAATAACGATGCATTATTTTTCCTCATCTGTTATTTTTAAGGTAAAATATTTCAACTAGAATTAATGTTTTATTGTTCTAGTTTTTCCTTTTAATAGAAAAATTAACTTTTTGGATAGTTATTATAAAAAACCCAACAGTTGCCCCAGAGGCAATCACTGTTGGCAGTTCCTTTCATGTACTTCCAGAGGTATTGTAGGTTGTGTGTGTGTGGGAGGGGATATTAGACAAATTATGGAGAAGATTCATTAAAATACTGTGTCTAGTTCAGATGTGGTATTGTGTACTAAGTTGTGTACTAAAAATTAGAAAGGGTCTAAAAATGATTAGTATCTGGCTACTGGCCCAGAAGGAAGAAAAGCAGGGTCTGGCAGTATTTGGCAGTAATTTTCTATAAGACAAGTGGCCTTAGCTCTTTTTATTATTGGATCGATTCTTTGACAATAGCACTTCTGTTTATAGTACTGATTCTATACTACTGTTCCAGAATGGAAAGCCAAGTTTTAGACAGTTGGTACCTGAAAGAAACTCTGTGAAGTATAAAGGGTATTTGGAGGTATTTAAGAGAACATTTAGTGGAAAGATACTTTATTCTTAGGTATGTTAGGATTTCTGTGCTCAATGGTTACAGTCTTAGCAAAATTTTCATGACTTCACTGCTTAACAGTAATAGTTCGAACCTGAAATAATTGCAAATAAAAGTCATCATTTTCCTAAATTCTTATTTCTTAATTAAATTGATTGAGGTGACATTGGTTAATATGATCATATAGGTTTCAAGTGTACATCTGTTTTTTTAAAAGATTTTTATTTACTTTTAGAGAGAGGAAGGGCAGGAGAAAGAGAGGAAGAGAAACATTGATGTGTGAAGAGAAGCATTGATTGGTTGCCTTTTGAATGGCCTGGAACCCTGGCATGTGCTGTGACTGGGACTCAAAGCAGAGATCCTTCAGTTTGCAGGGTGGTACTCAGTCCAATGAGCCATACAAGCCAGGGCTCAAATGTACGTTTCTGTGATATGTGATTTTTATACTGCGTTGTATGCTGACCACCCAAAATCAAATCATCTTCTGTCATGATATATATGGCCTCTTTACCCTTTACTCCCCCTTACTCTTTCCCTCCGGTACCATCATAGTGTTGTCTGTGTCTATGAGTTTCAGTTTTTTATCACACGTATGAGTGAAATCATATGGTTCTTAGCTTTTTCTGACCGATTTTGCTTAGCATAATATTCTTAAGGCCCATTCATGTTGTTGCAAGTGGCACTACTAAATTCTTATTTACCTAATTCAAAAGCCAATCAACCATGATATAAACACATTTTAAAAATAAATTTTATAAAGATTTTATGGTATAGTTATAGTAGTAATTTGTCTCATACATCTAAGGTCTTTGAGCTTGAGTTGAATGCCACTGCTAAATAAGTAGTCAGAGGTTTTAGTGGATTCTACAGAGTTTTAATGTTTTAAGGAAAAGATATTTGCTTGGGATAGATTTTTTAAAGGCCCTTATTTCCAGAAATAAAATTTTGGGATGACTGTTGTTCACTGAATACTAACTTTCTATGTGGCCCAGGATAAATAGAGTTTTTATAAGAGCTCCTATTTGCTGGAATTTGTCTCTCCTATTCCAGATTAATTATAGGGCTAAAAAGGCTACTGAAGAATTTTCACCTAATAATAGTTGGTAATATTTGTGGAGCTTTAAGAAAGAATTTATCAGAGGTGGTAGAAGATAACCTGGATTTTTAAAAAATGTTTAATTTTGAAATGGTTATGTATTCATAGAATTGCAAAGGTAGTACAGAGAATTCCTATATACCGTTTACCCAGCTTTCCCTAATGTTAACATCTTTTTAAAAATCTATTTATTTATTTCGGGGGGGAGGAAGAAAGGGAAAGAACTGAAACATGGATCAGTCGCCTTCTGCACAGGCCCTGACTGGGGACCAAACCCACAACCCAGGCATGTGCTCTGACTGGGGATCACACCGGTGACCTTTCGCTTTGCAGGACAGTGCCTGACTAATTGAACCACACTGGGCAGGGCCCTTAATGTTAACTCTTATATAATTACGGCACATTGATCAAAATTAAGAAATTTGTCTCAATTTTTGAACGAATTCAACAAACCTTGTTTTTGAATACCTACTATGTGTAAAAGAGTGTTTTAGCTTCTTAAGTATGTACAATATTGGAAAGGAAGTAAAAACTGTAGTTAATTATAATAAACTGGTGACTTTGATTTAATTCTTGAACAGATTCTAAGATTATTAAACACATGTACTGTTGGTACTTAAATGATAAGACAGTGATCACTAGGAGCCAGCATGGGTTCTCACATCATGCCACACTAGCCTCACTGCTTTTCCTACAGGGCAAGTAAACTGGTAGGTACCCCAGGAGATACTCTTAACTATAGCCTATCTAAAATTATAGCTACTAAATTATATACTAAACATGGCCTTGTTTAGTCCTGTCTTAAATAAGGAGAGAGACCCCCAAGGTTATACTGTTATATGTGTGACAGTTTTTTAAGATATCTTTGTAGACAAGTAATGTAGTCTGAATAATTACACAGGTAGGCAGATTTGTAATTGATTAATGGGCTGGTGGTAAAAATAAACTCCAGTTTATTCCTAGTGGTGTGCCTCAAGATGCTGTCTTCCCCCATGTCCTATTTAAAATGTTTATTTTTTATTTTTTTGTTCTGTTACAGTTGTCCCAGTTTTCCCCTGTTGCTTCTTCTGCCCGGTCCCTGCTCCCCCAGTCAGTCCCTACCCTGTTGTCCTTGTCCGTGGGTCACTTATACTGGTTTTTTATTAGATCCTTCCCCTTCTTTTCCCTTTATCCCCCTCCCCCCTCCTTTCTGATTGTCATTCTCTTCCTTGTTTCATGTCTCTAGTTCTGTTTTGCTTGTGTATTTGTTTTGTTCATTAGATTCCTCTTATAGGTGAGATCATAATATGCTCTTTGTCTTTCACCATCTGGCTTATTTCACTTAGTATAATACTCTCCAGTACCATGTTTTTTTACTTTTAAAATTGTGAGGGGGAGTGCTAATAGTATGTTTGTTATGTGACAGAATCAGGATCCTCCCTGTCCTCCGGATCCCCTTATTTTTAACAATTAGAATGAAAGATTGTATCTAAGAAATTATTTGTTCTAATAAGTTTGTATTTCATGTGTATATATTAGATAGAAACAAACAAAGCTCTGCACAAATACAGAGTTGGGAACTTGGAGACCTAACCAGTAGATGGGTTTTTTTTTTAAGCAGGTGTGCATCAGGGTCTGTCTTTTTATTTGTCTGCAGTTGGTGAGTCAGTGGTTTATTATAACTGCCCCAAAGACTAACACCCACTAAAAATAACATTATTTTGGAGCATATTGTCCAGACATAGTTGATTATCCTTTTGTACTCTACATTTAGCTTAGTGTTCTCCGTTCCATTTGTCATATTTTAAGGAGGCCATTGATAATATATTCAGAGGAGAGTAATCAGTATGAAGCACTGTCTTGAAACAGGTGCTTGCTAAATAATTGAAACATTTAAGATTTTCAGCCTGGAAAAAAGGACATTTTCATGGGGAATTCCCTTAAAATTGAGTAACTGAATGATCTTTCCAATTCTGTCTGTCTCAAATCTGTGATTCTGTGAAACAAGAAGGAATGGCATGTAGGAGAGGAATTAAACTTATCTTTTGCACCCCCAGAGAATAGAACTAGGAACAATGAATGAAAGAGGAAGGGGGGAAATACTGGTACATATTGATGTTTTTAACAACTGACATGGAAATAGAGTAGACACT